CCTAAAGAAGGGATCAACAAGAAGAAGGCATTTGTGGCTGTTTGGAATTTATGAAGACAACTCTAATGATAAAGAAGAAGTAGCTAGCTAATCTATGTCTCATTGCCATTAATGAAGATTCAATAATAATTTCTAACTTTAGTGAATTAAATTCTTATTTTTCTAAAGAGTTACAAGATGCCTATGATGGATTGTATTTGGAATTTGAGATCATAAATTACAAATATAAGAAAATGATTTTTAAATTCAAAAATGAAAATGATTTTCTTTTGAAAACTAAAGTGGATTTTGAAAAAAAAATGAAGTTTTAAAAATGATTTTGAGATTTCAAAAATCAAAATTGAAGATTTAGAAAAAATATTATTTTAAAAGTTAAGCTAGAATGCTTAACAAAAGAAGAAAAAAATCATTTCTAAAAACAATTCATCTATTTTAAAAAGATGAAATTATCATATTTTCATTTTCATGGTCATGATTTTTATATTTTTCCTATAAAGAAAAGAAAACATTTTAAAATTAGAGAAGATTAGGTTCCCTTGGGAACTAGAGACATTAGTACTAACCCTTAAGGACTCAAAGCAATTTGGGTTACCAAAATACAAATCAATGTTTCTTATAGGTGTGTTGTAGCAATGGTGATAAAGGTAAAGAATTTCAAATGCTCTAGCCATACAAGGAAAATGATGGGTAACCTTTAAACTTACTTTTTTTTTATTTTGTATATTGATTGGCTATTTTTTTTAATGCATGCATGAGTATTGAGCAAGAATGATTACATGTTATTTTATATCTCATGTATGTTGAAAATATGTTATGATGAACATGTTTTTAAAGTTAAATTTTTAATATTTTAGTTCATCATTAAGATTTTCGGTCAATTTCTGTTTTATGTTTTAAATTATATTTTTTAATCTTGACCTTAGTTTGGCTGTTTATGCATATTTTCTTTATTGCCTATGATATCTCTCTAACAATTGATAACTATGTTGAATGCATAACATTTTGTAATATTTTATGCATATGAGTTATATTGTCTCATTCATGATATTGCATAAAGTATAATTTACTTGGATATATATTGAATTTCATGTGTTATTAACTTGTTTGTTCATCTTTATTGAAATTAAATTTTTTAAGTGTTAAAGTTTTGTGTCAAACATTTTCATGGAATGCTTTTGTTGCGGGAAAGCTTTTAAATTTTTCAAATGTTTTTATGTTACAATTTTTACTTACTCTCAATTGTTATTTTGAACATGAAGTTTGAATTATTTTTATATAACAAAAATGGGGAGAAATGTGTTTGAAATTTTAATTTCAAAAATGAAAAATGGGAGCTTAAATATTTTCCAAAGTATTTCTTTTTTCATGAAATATTTTATTAAGGGAGAGTTTTGTCAAAAACCATTTTTCAAATGTTTTGTTATATAAAAAAATGGGAGATTGTTGAACTTATTTTGATATAAAAATTAAGGGTAAAACGTTTTTTTTACTTAATTTGAATTTATTTAAAGTTTCCAAAAATATTTTCCAAGTCCATAAAAGTTTGAATTTGAACACAAAACATTTTTTGGGTAAGTAGTATTGATACTGTAACAGTATCAATATCGCATGAACAATACCGGTATTGTTCTTGTAGTACCAATACCAAAGGTAAGAGAAGTATCGATACTCTCATGGTAATATCGATGCTACCTATTGTTTTTCAAGTTATTCAAATTCTAATAAGCAAAATTGGTACCGATACTCTAGGAGTACAAATACTACTTTACGTAGTAGTATTGAACCATGAAACCTAGTATCGATACTGGTCAAGTCTAGCGGTTGATAACGGTTAGTTTATTGAAATATTATAAAGCAAGTATCGATACTCAAAGCTCGAGTATCGAAACTCCATTTTCTAAGTTGTTTAGTTTTGCATAAATTAATTTTTCAATGGCTCCAAATCATCCCTAAGAGTTAGAAACGACTATAAACTCATTTCAACATATAAAAACAACACAAGAACACTTAAAAAAGGTTACAACACCTATCAAAGCAATCAAGATCAAGATTAAAGCTCTTTCACTATTTATTTTTCACTTTCTCTTGTACATAGTGTTTGTGAGCTTAAATTTGTAAACACTTGTTTTTGTGAGATTTCCTTGTTTACACTCCTTTATTCTTTTGTAAAAAGAGGAGTGGTTCTATCATAGCCTTTGTAAAGATAGAGATTTTGTAAAGATTACTCTTGATCCTAGAAAAAAAAGAGAATAAATTAATGAATTTGTTAGAAATCCTTATGGTGGAGCTAAGGTAATGACTGTAGGCTTCATTGAGGAAGTTGAACCACTCTAAATCTTTGTGTCTTATTGTATATCTTTTTATTTCCACACCCAAAATTTTCGAAGGTCAATTCACCTCTTCTTGACATTTTTTCAATTGATCCATTAGAGTCTCATAAATCTCAACACAAATTCAATCTGAGGGTCCATAATAGGAAAAATCAACAGAATTAAAAATAAACGACATCTTGTTCAGTCATGGCGTCGTCAAATCTCACCCTGAGAAAACATAAATAAAAGAACGGTAAAAAGACTAAGAAAGAAAACGTGCCACAAAGGTAAAAAAAATGTGACATAAAGACAAAATTATTCTTATTAAAAAATTAGAAAAGAAACAAAGAGAAAAAGAGAACTGATGGATAATAACCAACATAAAAAATGATGTCATCATTGGTTAAGCAAAATAAAAAAAAAAGATTGATCTAATCTATAGAAAATGACACAAACTCTAGAAAAAAAAAGCAAGGGGAGAGCGGCTAGGATACAATAGAACATTATAAGTATATAGTTGTTTAATATCATACAATTAATCTAATTATGATTTTAAAAATTTTAATTATTAAATTATGTTATATTTTCATATTTAAATTATATTTATATGAAAACAATATTTTTAAATAATAAAAGATAAATATGAATTCATACGTGCAAAGCACGTGTTAAAAAATAACATTAAAAATAGAGTTAATTGAATTATACATCCTTTAACTATCACCCTTATTTTAAATTGGTCCTCAAACATTTTTACATTCTAATTTCACCTATAAACTATGACTCTCAATTAGATATTTGTCCCTAAACTTTTAAACAATCTAAATTCATTCCCAAACAATCATCCTCTTTTAAATTAGTCCCCAAACTTTTGAACATTCCAATAACATCCCTTAAATCACTTAAAAGTTTGGGGTTGAAATTAAAACATTCAAAAGTCTGGGAACTAATATAGAACTACGGCCATAGTTTAGGGATGAAATTGAAATGCTAAAAAATTTAGGGACCAATTTAGAATGAGAATTATACTTTAGGTATGAAATTAGAATATTTAAAAGTTTAAGGATCAATTTAGAATGAGAATCATAACTTAAGGATTTTTAGTACAATTAACTCTAAAAAATATTATTAAAACTTATTCAGACTAAACTCTGCTTATTTTCTTCTATAATCTAATTATGTTTTAATTTATAATACTTCATATTATTTTCTGAATATTTTATTTATTAATTATTAATATGTTTAGATTTCTTAATCATAAAAAAAATTCTATTCTTAGTCGTATATAGGGATGGCAACATGTCAGGTTAGGATCGGTTTAGGGTTGAGTTTTTTGTCAATCCGATCCGAAAATATATATCATCCACCCGAATTCGACTTGAAACTTATTTATCCTCCATCGACTTGACCCGACCCGGAAAATATATATCATCTACAGAATCTCACTTGATCTAAATTTTTAGAGTATAAATTCGACCCTACACGACCCGATCCAACCCTGTATAAAATAAAGACTTAATTAAAAATAATATTTGTTAAAAAATTACATTATTATTCCTGGATCGATTCAGGTTATAGTTTTTTCACCCTTCACCTAAATCCAACCCAAACCCAATTTTTTAAAAACAAATTCAACCCTATCAACTCAAATAGTGTCAAATCCGTCGATTTTGGGTTTACGAAGTATTTAAAATTTTAAAATATACATTACTAACTTTAAATAAAATAAATACTAAATAGAATAAAATCATATCTTAAAACTAATTTTCTTCTCTAGTTATATTGCTTGTATGCGCTCTTAATTATATAAATAAATATATTTTGCGTCCAAAGTTTAGTTTAATCTAAATAAATTGAAAACTTTGCTTTATGCTATTTTAAATGATTAAATATCTTGCCATATTATTAATATTATTATTTTTTATAATTAAATTAAAATGATTTGAAGGAAAATAAAAGAGTATTACTCGGATTGAGAAAAACACAGGTTGAGTTTGAGTTGGAAAAGTCCAAAATCTCCGCCTTCCGGTACCACGAGAATTTTGTTTTTCTCTAGGGGTATAGTTGACTTTTGGTTCAACTCTCAAAATGGATCAGAAAAAAGAATGCGTGGAATTTCACTAAACGATAAGCACCGCCTAGTCATGACTTCTCCCGACAAATTTAGAAAGCCGGATACCCTGACACGTGGACGGTCAGACTTGGAAACACCAAGTTGAAGAGTAGATGTAGCTGAGCTTAATCTAATGTAAGTCTGAATCCAGTCCCTTTATTATGTTCAAATAACAAATTTAATCCCTATACTTTAGTAGTTCAATCCTTTATTCGAAAGTAGACTCTTAATCATTTGACAATAAAACATTCAAACATCCCTATAGATGACATGCTCAAGTCTGAGGTCTCTAGAAATAACAACTATTCAATTAATAACTGAGGTCGCTTGATTCGCGCTTAATTTTAAATTACTAATAAAAGATTAAAAATAGAAAGATTAAATTATGATAAATTAAAATAGAAAGACTACATATTAAAGTTAAACATAATAGAGTAGCTAAAATCAGAAATATACTGTTTATCATCAAATCTGGCACGCTTGAACTAATTTTTTAATTCTTTTTTTTTTAGTTCATTTAAATCTCTATCCCCATTTTTTTTGTTACTTGCTTCTCTTGGATGTGTCAATATTTATCGTTTTGTCCCTCCCTGTAATCACAGACCATGAGGCCGCCTTATGAGACCTCCTGGTGCTCTACCCTTAGCTGAAATTACGCTTTGAAATTAGTCTTGTTTTCAGTTCAGCTTTCCTAATTCCTTTTTTCACTCAAACGAAAGCTATAACGCTTTGAAGTTCGTCTTCTTCCTCGTGAATACTGAATAACAATCATACCTTTTGATATTCAAGCCAACATTTGCGGTGAATTATTGTATCATCGAAACTCCAAAACCCGATAGTTTTCCCCAACTAAAACTGGGTTTCATTTCTTTGAGCTTAAAACATGGGGGAGCTTCAAAACTCATCTTCAATGGCTGTTTCTACCACTTCCGGTGAAGCAAGTGTATCTTCTTCAGGAGGACGGCCACCGAAGAAGAAAAGAAATCTTCCTGGGATGCCAGGTGAATTCAAAAGTCCACTCTACTCATTTTATATACATACTTTAATTCTGAATTTCATTGGTTTATTCAGATTCAGAAGCCGAGGTAATAGCTTTATCTCCAAAAACCCTATTGGCCACCAACCGATTCGTTTGCGAGATCTGCAAAAAGGGCTTCCAACGCGACCAAAACCTTCAACTCCACCTCCGTGGCCATAACTTACCGTGGAAGCTCCGGCAAAGAACAACCGGGAAAGAGATACGAAAGCGAGTCTACGTTTGCCCCGAGCCGGGGTGCGTACACCACGATCCGGCTCGAGCCTTGGGTGATCTCACCGGAATCAAGAAACACTTTTGCAGAAAACACGGTGAAAAGAAATGGAAATGCGAGCAGTGCTCTAAAACGTACGCCGTTAAGTCCGACTGGAAGGCCCACATGAAGACCTGTGGCACGCGAGAGTATAAATGCGATTGTGGCTCCGTTTTTTCCAGGTAAAGACAAACTCCTCCTTCCATACGTAATAATATTTCCGTTTCGTAATTGAACCGCTTTGACTGTTGATGTTTCTTGAAGGAGGGATAGTTTCTTTACGCATAGAGCTTTCTGCGATGCCTTGGCCGAGGAAACCGCCAGGGTTGGAGCAGCAACTGCACCGCCGCCTCCACAGTCTTTAGCACCGTCTATTGCACCGGCGGCACCCATAGAGGGCACAACATCCCTCTCACTTTCCTCTCCGCTCTTCCTATCCAACAATGTCTCTTCAATCTTGAACGGACCAGTCATATCGGCCACTGCATTGCTACAGAAGGCTGCACAAATGGGAGCAGCGGGACCGTACCCTTCACTATTCCGTGGGCTAGGCTTTGCTGTGTCATCACCATCAGCACCCTCTGTTGAGAACCATCTCAACATTAAGTCAGAAAACAATTCAACGCCGACAGCAAGTATTGGCCTCGGCATTCCCTTGATAGGCCCATCCCCGCCAACGACGCTTGATTTTCTAGGGCTTGGCATGGGTGATGGTGGAACTTCCTCGACAGGATTATCTGCTTTGCTCTCTTCATTTGCAGGCGGGTCCGATGTGGAAGCAGCTTCAACGGCAGCATACGGCGCAGGTGGGAGTTCGAATAGAGAACCATGGGAAGGAGCAGCCGAGTGAAATCCCAATGGTTAAACCTTCCATACCAGTGCTTAGTAACCGAGATAAAAGATTTTGTGTTTTGTTTCCGTTTTACAGTTAGTTTGCTTTTGTTTAAAATATGGGATATATCATGATTGTAACCATCGTAAATGGTACATTACCTGTACTTTTGTTTCTAAACCTGTATCAAATGAGAAATTATTTTATAAAGAGAAAATAACCAAATTCCTTATAATATATGATTTTGACCAATTTTTTTTTATTTGTCAAAATGACCAACAAAATCGCAATGCGATCTCCAGTATCGCAAATCAGTTTCCAGATTCGCAACGCGATTTTGACTATCGCATTGCGATTTTATAAAATCGCAATGCGAATATGTAAATCGCAACACGATTCTTACTATCGCAACGCGATTCTGACTATTGTGTTGAGATAATACAAAATCGCAATACGATTTTCAAAGCACCATTAGTATCGCAACGCGTATTTTATTTTCAAATTTCAAACACGAATATTAATATATCCTGTAATCGCAACTCTTAACCTAAACTCTAAATCACAACTCAGTCCCATCTCCATCTCTCACTCTCTACGGCGACATCCGTCCCCATCTCTGACGAAATCCGTCCCCATCTCCGGCGAAATCCGTCTATCTCCATCTCTCAGAGCCACCCTCACAATCATTCACGATCATAAATGGAAAATCAACCAAATCAACCACCGAGGGTTAGTTTTTTTAATTATTTTTATTTTGAAATTTTTGCATTATTATTAGGTTTTTCATATTGAAATTGATGATAAGTTTACTGGTAATTTCAATAATAGATTAACCATTTCACTTAGATTGCTTATTAAATTCATTCGATTGCTGCTAAACTGTTTAGTCTTTAATCCTGTAAAGTTAGTATTTGTCTTTGTTTTGTCTTTTGGTTGAAGTAATGCAATTCATTCAAGTTTCAATTTTAGACAATGACTATTTGAAACCGAGGATCGCAACGCGTTGCGATTTTCTCGTTGCGATTTTCATTTTGCGTTGCGATAGTCATTTTCGTGTTGCGATTTTCATTTTCGTGTTGCGATTTTAAGTTTCAGAAACTATTCTTCTTCTGCCAATTGAAACTTGAATGAATTGCTTTACTTCAACCAAAAAACAAAGACAAATACGAAATTCACAGTGTTGCAAATTTAAGTTTGAAGAATAAACTACTACTACTCTTTATGTTTATTATTGTTTTTGGTATATCTTCACAGTGTAGTTTTTGGTATATCTAACTTGGTATGTTTATTGTTTTTGTAGAACTTGTTTTCGGCTCAATTGACCTTAAGGAATAAAATAAGCCTAGTCACTACAATTGCGTCGAAGCTTTCACCTGTACAAAGAAAATTGTTTGAGGATACTTGCTTCGGGCCATGGCTGAAAGTACAACATCCGGGTGGAGATGCTATGTTGACCCATTTGTGGCTTCAGACCATGACTAGCGATCTACCCGAGAGTATAAAACGTGGTAATGAAGAGATATGGTTTCATTTTCCACCGGCGTATACGTGTTTTGGGCGGGAGGAGTTTTGCTTAATCACTGGTCTACGCTTCGGACACGATGATGTAGGTCGATACACTAGTCATATTACCCGCCCATCATGGTTATCTCGGGTTTTTCCTGAGCTGTCAATGGAAAAGCCGAATTTACACGTCGACGACTTGACGAGATTATTGAATAAGAAAGATGGTTTTACTCCGATGGATGACATCGATGTTGTCCAAGTATGCCTTTTAGTACTTTTGCATGTCGGCTTTTTAGGCAGAGAGGTAAGACAACCTATTCCTAAGGACCTAATATTATTGGTAGAGGACCTAAATGCATAGAACATGTTTCCGTGGGGTTCGTATCTATGGAAAGCAACCTGGAATAAGTTGTCGTCTGCCTTTGATGACCGCAAAAGTTTGTGTGGCGATGGTTCCAAATACACTTTGTCAGGCTTTATCTAGGCCTTTAAGGTAAGAATTTCTATATAATGTTTCCAAAATTATAATTAATTATTTAACAATTACTAATGTTTGTGTATTATGTTGTTTGTAGATTTGGATATTTGAGGCTTTTCCCCACATGCAGACATATGCATTAAAAACTTCAAATGATATTCCTAGAGCTATTTCCTGGAAGAGGAAACGACGGCTGTTGATTTGGGAAGAGTTACTACGGTATACGACAATAAATGATGTAAGTTAACACAAATACTACCATATAAACAAGTTATTACTAGTACACGTTTAACTTTGTTTGAGCTTTTATATTGTTAGGAGGCCAACACTCCATTACAGAGGCTGACACCCACGGAGGCTGAGCTTGCCACTAATTGGTGGCAAGCTAGTAAGTGTTTTTTTGATGGCACGGATGATGAGCAGCCTCCACTTCGAGAGCCATCACCTCACCCAGAGCCATCACCTGATCAACCACACTATACACCTCTACAACGAGATCCATCACCTATTCCGTCACATCATCGAGCCTATTCTCTACCATCACCTCATGATAGGCGACCGACAAAGATGCCACGACATTTATCTCCCTGTTCTCAACCTCCACCTCCACGGGATGAGTTAGGGGAGTTACGTGATGAGGTCAATGCCTTGCGTGAGGAGGTCGGTACTTTATGCGATGACAATGGTGCATGGCGTGATGAGGTATCTACTTTACGTGGCGAGGTAGCGGCTCTACGTGAGATGGTAGTATCATTGTAGAATTAGGTTCATACTCTACGCAACGAGGTAAGTTTAAGATTTTTCATATTTAACTTGATTTACTCGTAATTTAACTTAGATTAACCATTTCACTTAGATTGCTTAGTAAATTCATTCGGTTGCTGTCAATACTGCTAAACAGTTCTAAAATAACCCTGTGAAGTTAGTATTTGTCTTTGTTTTGTCTTTTGGTTGAAGTAATGCAATCCATTCAAGTTTCAATTTGCAGAAGAAGAATAGTCGCAACACGAAACTAAAATCGCAACGCGAAAATGACTATCGCAACGCGGAAATGACTATCGCAACGGGATAATCGCAATGCGAAATAAAAATCGCAACGCGAATTTAGTTTCACGTTGCGATTTTTATTTCGCATTACGATTATCTTGTTGCGATAGTCATTTTCGCGTTGCGATAGTCATTTTCGCGTTGCGATTTTAAGTTTCGTGTTGCGATTTTAAGTTTCAGAAACTATTCTTCTTCTACAAATTGAAACTTGAATGGATTGCATTACTTCAACCAAAAGATAAAGACAAATACTAACTTCACATTGTTGTAAATTTAAGTTTCAAGAATAAACTACTACTCTTTATGTTGTCCTTGAACATGCACTAAACCTATATGATGTCCTTTTAAATGTTTATATAAGTGCTTACTTCTAGAATGTTATCTGATGCATTTTGTGAACTATGATAGAATAATGACTTGGGTGAATACCGTGCAAGTTTGAAACATATTTGTCTTTGTTTTCACTATTTAATATCATGTCTGTTTATTTACTGATTTATGTATTAATTTATTTTTAGCGGCCCGATAAGGTGGATGTTTTACGTCGGGTTTTTCTTGCATGACGGGGTTCACGCATCAGACGGCGTGCACGTGCCATTACGTCTCTGTTCACCCCAATAGTGCGAAGACTCCGTAAGAAGAAGCCTGACTCACTTGTCATCGTTCAAGAGGCCTCTCATATCGTTCAAGAGGCCCCTATCATCCCTCAAGAGTCCCCTCCCAGCGTTCAAGAGGCCCCTGTCATCGTTGAAGAGGTCCCTCCCACCATTCAAGAGCCCGATTCACACGGCGTAATATGTCGAATTATTGAGAAACCCTCTCACGTGCCGGACATGATGGATGATTGTTTGCTTTCGTATGAGTTACCGGTCAGTACCATTCCAGCATATGAAGTGGAGAGGAGAATACTACCGGAAACAATTCTGGATAATACCCTTTGGGCTAAGACCGTAGTTGATTTTTATCTAGATGAGCAGAGCAAGGGGTGTTACACTGACATATACAAACTCAACGATGATATGCATTTGTTGATTGATCAGTCTTGGCGGGGTATGTTATTAGGGGTTGAAGACAAAGGCTATTTCGATGGGGGGTAAGTCTTATATTTTTCTTATATTTCATTTTGATTATTTTTTTTTAAATTTATGTAATTCACTAATATATATGTCTTTTTTTGTAAAACAACATATTGATGCAATGTACATGACTATTGAGGATGATAGAACCAACTCCAAGACTTGCTTCTTTGAAACCTTTGGGTACACGATTATATGTTTTCCATGTTTAAGGAACTTAGAAATTTTTTATAAGAGAACTCTTGCATGCTTTGGCATAAAACTTTGATAATGAATGATGAAAACCTCACATAAGAAAGAATTAAATTGTGAATAAATGCTTCGACATAACTGTAGAGGGACACTCCGCTATGCCATGGCATTGCCTGGATACTGCATTTTAATAAATAGCAGCCACGACATATGAGTGAATGAAAGTAGTCATGGGATGACTCTACCTGACTAGCTCTGGGGTGGAAGGTATGCTCCCTTTCACCTAAAGTGTGGGATGGTATGTGGGATAGTAGGTGTGATGGGCTGACTCCCCTCATAGCAGTTAAAATAAAAAGAAAAATAAAACACTGTGGGAGGAAACTTGTAAATGTCGTGGAAAAACAAGAGAGCTTGCTTAGAAATTTTATAGGTTTGTTAAGCATGGACTTGATACAAACACACAAACACGTACACAAAGATCTTTCCCTAGGGGACGGTACTTGATTTCTCAAACTAGTCTAGCGTGTTGAAGCCAACTATTCTGAGTGATGAAATTCTATCCCTTATGACTGGCTTGAACCTGAACTTGCCATGGTATTTTTATTTTCCTTAATATTATGCATTGCTTGAAGATAAGTAATAGCTTAAGTTTAGGAGTGTGATAACTCTGTAAAAAGGACATATTTAGGGCATATTCACTTAAGTTATTGACTGTCTAAGATCTCATATAGGATCATATAGATGCATTTAGGAGTATATAGTTGCATGTGGTGGAAATATATGTTGCCGCAGCATTTTATTTTGTAAATGGTGATGCGTTATGGGGAAGGGGTTTTGTTTGATGATGTGCAGGATTTGAGAGAAATGATAAGAAAA